TCAGAGAGAAAAGGGCCAGCTGGACCGGGAGGTCAGCAGATTAAAATACAGTGAAATACATTTTGTAACCCTGCTTAGATGACCTGACATTCAAAAGTTGTAAAAGGGACATTTTTCACCAGATTACAGACATGTTTGCCCTTAAAGACCACAGCAAGACTTCCACCACGACGTGTCGGGTGTGGTGTGGTAAACACAGAGCAGTTTGGTGGACGCATTTCATTGAAATGTACAAAATAGCCATCTTGCTGCCACGGCTCCGTAAGAAATAAATAGTCCAACTTTTCTCTGGTGAACAGCTCGTTTAAAATAACGGATTTGTTTGAGATGGAGCGGGCATTCAACAGGGCACATTGAACTGAATCCTGGAGAACATTTGTCTTCTTAACCTGTTGGAGATGGATGGGTCGTAAACATCTGGTGTTCTGGGTTCTCCGGCCATGAATACAGTTTATGTCTTTGCTGGTTGATAAATGAACTGGAATAGGCAAACTTTTGGGTTTGTCAGCCGAAGACAACATTTTGGGAATTGTGACCTTTGGAAGACACACAGAAGACTGTTGCATCATGGGAGGCTGTAGAGAGTGATGTTATTTGAAGTGGAGTTTTGAGCAAAGGCCGAAGAAGGTGAAGATCTCTGGGATGTAAACCGTCATGTCTGTGGAGGGGAATCCACCATAGATGTATATCTATGGGTATCTATGGGACTGCACAGCATACCGGATGTTAGTGGTTAGCATGCTTGAGCCATGTCGGCTAGGATGAATACCATCTCGCCTGAAAAAGGAGAAATGGTTCCAAAACAGGTTAAAATTATTGATGAAACCAAAACTGTGGGACCTGCAAGCAGACTTAAGCCAGGAGTGGAGAGAGAGCAGACGGCTAAAACGTCCATATCCATGAGAAATTGTGGGGATCGGGCCAGAGATGAAAACAGACATTTCACTGCTCTTCAGAATGTCAAAAAGATGGTTAAAATGCTGTTGAGTGATGACAGGCTCCCAGCGTGTAACATCGTTTGATCCCACATGAATGATCACTCTTTTAACTGAAGCTGGGATGGAGTATAGCAGACCAGGAAGTTTATCCAGGAGAGCAGGTATGGTGTAGGGCTGCAACAACGAATCGATAAATTCGATGAAAATCGATTACTAAAAGCGTTGGCAACAAATTGCGTCATCGATTCGTTGTGTTGCACAACTCTTCCAAAAGCCCCCTCCCCCGCCCGCCGTTGCGCGCAGACTGGAGAGCCGGCAGGTGTTTGGAAGAGAAACATGGCAGAAGCAGCGAGACCCAAAAAAAGTAAAAACTTCTTAAGTTTGGGAGCATTTTCAGTTAAATCAGGCGAAGACATTCATTACCTGCAACGTTTGTAGGTCAGAGTACTACAGTGATGATGCAGCATCTTAAACACAAGCATGTCAGAATCATCAGCGAGGAAGGAGAGAGCTCGGTGTCCGGGTAAGTTAAAAACTTTTCAAAAGTGATTCACCCATGCCCCGGATTATTACACAGGCTAGACATGCCCTAAGCTCGTAAAAAAAAGGTCTATAAAATCGTAAGCGCGACGCTATTAGATAGGCGGGGGGGGGACTCGCGCTGCTGCGAACCGGTTCCGCCGTCACATTCCCGCAGAAACTGGTTGATCACACCGGGGCCAGACTACTAGCATGTGGCTTTACAACCACAATGTCCTCAGAAGCAAAAACGCTTTTAAAAGGGAGGGAGGAGTCCTAACTGTTGCTGCAGGCGTGTTGTGTGAGAGTGCAGTTATATACTGGTTAATATATTTTTGGGTTCAGTTGCTTTCATGTGGCCTAATGTGAGTCTATTTGGGATCATTGGAATGATCAGCAGCATTTCTTGATGTGACTTTATGGCAGTTGCCCAGGGCATAATCACAAGGAGGGTGGCATTCATTTACTTTTGTTTTATTTGGTATTTTTTCAGTCATTTTTGGAAATAGTGATTAATTTTGATTAATTCACAGCCTATGTTTAATTACATTTAAAAATTAGTTGTTTGACATCTCCAATTATAATAAATGTCTACAGATGAGATCAAACAAAACAGATGAGAATTGCCCTTAAAGAGCAAGTCACCCCCAAATAAACTTTTTTTGCTGATAAACTAAATAAACGAGTGTCTAATCGTGCTGCAGACACGTGTCGTCAATAATTTGGCACTTCTGTGCATCTTAGTTAAAATTTAAATATTCTGCCTAAAACTGGCAGTGTTGTGCCGTTGTCAGGTAAAAACTCTGCACTGTATTTTAATTTAAATCTGCCACCGCTATTGGCTAAGAAGTATGCTATGATGTAAACTGGTACATTATGATGTCACAATGCTGTCGTGAGCCTGAGTGTGTGTGTATTTGTTACCGGCTCCGCCCTCTCGGTCTGCCAGGCAACAGCATGTGTTGCATTTTTCAAACATGAAGTGGGAGTGGAGTTAGACTCTGGTAGGGGTTGACTTGCTCTTTAAGCTGTTTAACTTGGACCAAGCATTTTAGGTCACAGATAGGTGTAGCTTAGGGTCTCTGTCTATACACCTTATAAGACAATTTAGTTGATGGCATGTTGTTTTTCTGCTATTGAACGGTTTTCTAATAATGTTGTGTTTAATAAAGTGAAGGAAGGAGAGAAATAACGTTTCCCTAGCAGTTTTTAAAAATGTCCCTATGTAATCCGATTAATCAATTAATCGTGTCGAGACCCCATCCGATTCATCGATTGTCCAAATAATCGTTTGTTGCAGCCCTAGTATGGTGGCTGATGGAAAACATCTTGTCATGACGTTGAAAAGTGGGCATTCCTGATTATTAAAACACCTACCAGCAAAGTGGAGGATTCTGGGTTTGGGTTCCTGTGGTGTCGGGGAACTGGAGGGTTTGAGGTGGAGGAGCTCACCTCCTCACCCAGGGAAAGAGGTCCAGCAGAGTGTCGATGCACAACATCCTTTAGTATGTTGCGTTGGGCATCAGAGGTTGAGGTCTGGGGGGAAGAGACTGCTGACGTTGCTTCTTCCGGACTACAGGCTCCTGCTGGATCATGATGGGATCAGATTGGTTGGGAAGGAAGAGGAGGCCTGGAGGAATCAGCGGGTTGTTCCTCAGCAAGTGGAGAGAAGCGGTTTGAAAGATTGATGTTAGATGGGGGGTTGGGATCAACCACAGGGGCTCTCCTACGGCCACGTACCACAACCTCTGACCAAGATGAAAATTGGTCAGGAGTAGAGCTGGACGTCAGATTTCGTGGTGCAGATGGATCCCAAGCAATGGTGTCTTGGAGTAGAGTGTTTTGCACGGATTGGAGCAGAGAGTTTTGCATGGATGTTTTATCTCCAAACTGACTGACAATGGTCTCAGACAGTACAGGAAAACGAGATCTAAAACTATCCAGCACCATTTCCTTCTTTTGCATTTCAGCAGAGAGTTGTCGTATATCCTCTTTAAGGTTTTGAATTCTTTTATTTGCTTTAGAAAGCATAAAGGCATCATTGTGGTGCAGAAGCAACGGGAGGACAGACATTCAAGCTAGCTTCAAGGTTGCCTCAACTTTGGCTGAGCTGCCTCTGTCTGATCCGAAAGATTTGTATTCCAAATAAAGGCCCAAGAAGTCAAAGAATCCAAAAAATAAACAAAAGGTCCAACAAAGTTCCAACAAAATCACAAAATCCAGAGATCAGTGACAGGAAAAAACAGGTTTAAAGAGGAATTAGAGCACAAAAAGTAGGATCTGAAGTAAACACGTCTGCCACGTCTCAAGGTCCAGATAACTTTGTATGGTGGTGCTTGTCCATGTAAGGCCCTATAGACCAGAACCTGGTTCTTGAAATGAACTCTGAAGTTGACTGGCAGCCAGTGAAGCTGGAGGAGAAGCGGGGTGATGTGGGTGTGTTTGGAGGACTTGGTCAGAAGCCGAGCACAGGCGTTCTGAACCACCTGTAGACGGTTCAGGGAGGTTCTGCTCAGACACGTGAAAAGAGAGTTACAGTAGTCTAAGCGTGAGGAGATGAAGGTGTGGAGAACTGTCTCAAGTTCAGAGCGAGACAGAATGGGACTCAGCTTAGCAACGTTCCTGAGATGCAAGAAGGAAGAGCGAACAAGAGAACTGACATGAGAATCCAGGGTGAGAGCTGGGTCAAAGGTCACACCAAGATTCCTGACAAAGGGTTTGGTGTGAGAAGCAGGTCTAAGCAGGTGTGTAACAGCTGCAGCTTAGACATCTCATGGGGCTTAAAGGAGATGTACAGTTGGATGTCATCTGCATAAAGATGGTAGGAGATTCCTTTGAAGGAGCTCAGGATGTGCTGAAGAGGAAGCAGATAAAGGAGGAAGAGCACAGGCCCAAATTGGTGAGCTTGTAAACGTGGAGTGGCCAGCACAGTCTCCAGACTTAAACTCCATGGAGCTGGTTTGGGATGAACTGGACAGAAGAGTGAAAGCAAAGCAACCTACTAGTGCCACACATTTATGGGAACTTCTGCAACAGATTTGGGAAGAACTTTCTGAAGAATATTTGATTTCTATTGTAGAAAGAATGCCACGAGTGTGTTCAGCTGTTATATCTGCCAAAGGCAGCTACTTTGATGAGTCAAAAGCTTAGAATACATTTTGGTCCATAAATTCATTCCATAATTGATTTCTTGCAGTTGTGGCTTTGGGTGTGCCAGACCTCTTCCTGTCAGAGTTTGCCCCAGTTTCTGAGCGTCTTTTGATGGTGAAGGAAACTGCACTCACTGACACCTTGACTTTCTTTGCATATTCTCTGCAGGAAAGACCCGCATTTTTAAGTGTTATGATGGTCTGTCACTGTTCCATAGTTAATTGCCTTTTTTTCGTCATTTTAGTAGCAACACACTATTATCTGCAGTACAATACTGTTCAAATGATGCTCATGAGGATGTGGTACCAAAGTATGTTTCAATTATTTTTCAGTTTTGAGTAACCTTACCTTTTATACTTCACACACACACACACACACACACACACACACACACACACACACACACACACACACACACACACACACACACACACACACACACACACACACACACACACACACATAGCTTAAGGCCGCTATCGAAGCATTCTGGGCCTCCATAACACCTCACCAGTGCCACCGGCTGATTGCCTCCATGCCACGCCGCATTGAAGCAGTCATTTCTGCAAAAGGATTCCCGACCAAGTATTGAGTGCATAACAACATGATTATTTGAAGGTTGACTTTTTTTGTATTAAAAACACTTTTCTTTTATTGGTCGGATAAAATATGCAAATTTTTTGAGATAGGAATTTTGGGTTTTCATGAGCTGTATGCCAAAATCATCAATATTAGAAACAATAAAAGGCATGAACTACTTCAGTTGTGTGTAATGAATCTAATATATATGAAAGTCTAATGTTTATCAGTACATTACAGAAAATAATGAAATGTATCACAACATGCAAATTTTTTTGAGAAGGACCTATATATATACACACACATATATATATATATATAAATATACATATATATGGCGGTAAGGCGTTTCCTGTTTCCTGTTTTTAGTGTTGCACTCCGTGAAGCTGTTTGGTGTTTGGGCTCGCTAAAACCGATTTAATTTCTCTGTAGCAGGCTATCTCTGAGTTATTGTATTACATAAGCATGCTAAAACACACATTTTCTGTTGTTCCACCTAGCTTTTAGGGAACCATTTGAGTTCGCACGCAGTTTATTTGGTGTTGAACAGTTTGCTCGTCCAGTTAGCTTAGCCTCAGCACGGCTATGGCTACTTCTGTCTCTGCTTCTCCGTCTCCTATCTCTTGCTCTCTGTGTCAGATGTTTAGTTACTCCTCTGCCTCCTTTAGTGATAATGGTACATGTAATAAATGTAGCACTTTTGTATCTTTGGAGGCGAGGGTGTCGGAATTGGAGTCCCGGCTCCGCGCTGTTGGAAAACCTGTAAACAGCCGTAGCTACTTAGCTAGCGCGGGGCTAACTAGCTCAGAACCACCCCATAGCGGTCCTCCAGCAGAAGAACCCGAGCAGCCGGGACCTCAGGCCGGCTGGGTGACAGTACACAGGAAGCATAGGACCCAGCCCGTGGGCCACCACCAACCCGTCCACGTTTCTAATAGATTTTCCCCGCTCAGTGACGCACCCACTGACAAGCCGACTCTGATCACTGGCAGCTCCATAGTCAGAAACATGGCATTAGAGACTCCAGCAACCATAGTTAAATGTTTACCTGGGGCCAGAGCGGGCGACATTAAATCTTATCTGAAACTGCTGGCTAAGGATAAGCGTAAATACAGTAAGATTGTTATTCACGCTGGCGGTAACGACACCCGGTTACGCCAATCGGAGGTCACTAAAATTAATGTTGCTTCGGTGTGTAAGTTTGCCAAAACAATGTCGGACTCCGTAATTTTCTCTGGCCCCCTGCCTGATCGGACCAGTGACGACATGTTTAGCCGCATGCTGTCCTTCAACCGCTGGTTGTCTAGGTGGTGTCCTGAAAACAACGTGGGCTACATTGATAATTGGAAAACTTTTTGGGGAAAACCTGGTCTGATGCGGAGAGACGGCATCCATCCCTCTTTGGATGGAGCAGCTCTTCTTTCTAGGAACATGGCCAGTTTTATTAGTCCTCCATGACGACCCAGGGTCCAGACCAGGAAGCAGAGTCGTAGTTTAACCCACCCCTCTGCAGCTTCTGTACTGTTACCCACCCACTACCCCATAGAGACAGTGTCCTGCCCACGGCCAAAATCACACAGATTAAATATCAGGCTTAATAAAGCAAATCATGGAAATCTCATAAATATTAGAACAAATTCAACTGAGCAGAAAACTAGAAAAATTAAATGTGGGTTGTTGAACATTAGATCCATTTTTTCTAAGACTTTGTTAGTTAATGACTTGATTTGTGATAATCAGATCTCTTTGCTCTCTCTCACAGAATCCTGGCTGCAGCAAGAGGACTATGTTAGCTTAAACGAGTCGACTCCTTCAAATTATTTAAATCATCATATTGCTCGAAGTACAGGGCGAGGAGGAGGAGTGGCAACCATTTTTCATTCGGACTTATTAATCAGTCCCTTACAGATTAATAGCTACAGTTCGTTCGAACATCTTATTCTTTGTTTTCCTAATCCAGATTGCAAAACTGTAAAACCACTCTTGTTTGTAGTTTTATATCGTCCACCAGGCCCTTACTCTGAGTTTTTGGATCAGATCTCTGATTTTTTTATCTGATTTGGTGCTAAATACTGATAAGGACATTGTAGTGGGGGATTTCAACATTCATGTGGACATCGAAAATGATTGCCTCAATGTAGCCTTTAGTAATATCTTAGACTCAATTGGTTTTAATCAAAGAATACATAGCTCCACCCACTCCTACCATCATACATTGGATCTTGTTCTGACTTATGGCATAGAGTGTGAGGAAATAACGATCTTTCCACATAATCCAGTCCTCTCGGATCACTTTCTGATAACCTTTGAGTTTTTTATAACTGAGTTCTCGAGACATGAAAGTAAATTTCATTATAGTCGGTCTCTATCTGACAACGCTGTTGCGTCTTTTAAATCAACTGTTCCATCTTTACTGTCTTCAGCATCTCAGAGGCATGTAGCAGAGGGCAATATTTTCAGTTCTAGCCCCTCACAAATTGATGCCTTAGTTCATCATGTTAATTCCTCTTTACGTGTGGCATTAGATGATGTTGCCCCTTTAAAAAAGAAGGTAATTAGGGACAGGAAGTTGGCTCCCTGGTTTAATTCTCATTTACGAGCCTTAAAACAAAACTCTAGGAAATTGGAGAGAACATGGCGCTCTACGCACCATGAGGAGGCCTACCTATGCTGGAAAAATAGTCTTGTGCTTTATAAAAATGAGCTTCGACAAACTAGAACTGCTTATTTTTCAGCATTAATTGAGGAGAATAAGCATAATCCTAAATTTCTTTTCAGTACAGTTGCCAAACTTAGCCCTCAGCAGCAATGACTTCATGGGATTTTTACAAGTAAAATTAATTCTATTAGAAACAAAATCTTTAGCATCCTCCCTAATGCGATTTCTTTTTCCGCCGTAAGTGAGGCAGCATCAGAGGTGACATTAGAACCAGATCTCTGGCAGATCTTTTAGTTATCAGGCTTCTCTCCTGTGGAACCAGCTCCCAGCCTTAGTCCGTGAGGCAGACACCTTGTCTACTTTTAAGACTAGGCTTAAAACATTTTTATTTGATAGGGCCTATGGTTAAAATCTGACGTTAGCCTAAATCTGGACAAGTGGGGGAGTACAGGGAGGTGGAGTGTACAGTCGGCCCTTGCCCTGCCTCCAACATGCCTCCATCTAAATAGGGTAGATTATCCAGAGTTTTCTCTGTAGTTATGCTGCTATAGGCTTAGACTGCTGGAGGATGCACTGACCACTTTCTACACTCTACAACCTTCTTCTACTATCTGCTCTTTAACTGTATTACTTTCTGCAATTTCAGCTGTTAACTTTATTTTCCTCTAAGTGTTTTTCTCCCCAGAAGAAGCTACAACGATGTTCTGCTGAGCTGTGGTGGCCTCATGGAGGGGGCCATCGTCTAACACACTGCTGCTAACCACTTAAACATTCTCCTTCTCCTGATAATAACTTTTTGCTTTCCTTGACATTGGACGTGTTACTGCTAGTTTACCCATTTAATTAGAGATCCACTAGGATAAATACAATAAAGTTTATCTCACCAAATAGAATATTTACTAAGAAATCACAATAGAACTGTAGACACATTATTGTGTGTGTGTGTGTGTGTGTGCGTGCGTGCGTGTGTGTGTGTGTGTGTGTCTGCTCTGTCTTCTCGATCCCCAGTGAGTCGTGGAGGATGACTGCTTATACTGAGCCAGGATTCTCTGGAGGTTTCTTCCTGTTAAAAGGGAGTTTTCCTCTCCACTGTCTCTATATGCTTGCTTAGTATGAGGATTGCTGTATAGTCACTGACACTAGTCAGTGACTTGATGCAATTTGCTGGGTTCCTTATATAGGAAACATTATTTCTGATTGGCTTAATGAACTGTGAATTGGAATGTTTATTATGTAAAGTGCCTTGAGACGACTCTTGTCGTGATTTGGCGCTATAAAAATAAACTTGAATTGAAACTTGAATATATATATATATATATATATATATATATATGTATGTATGAGCAGAAGCCGTTTGTTGCTGGTTAAAAAATGGGGGGGGCGGTGTAGTCTGTCCAAGTGGTGTTATGGCAGTGTGACACTGGACCTAGTACCTGCACCAGCAAAGAAAATAAGTCACTTCCTAGAATCACCCCTGAAATGAAACCATCTACTTACCTTCTATTTTTGCACTTGACTGTGAGGAGAGACTGACGGTGTCTTTCTTTGGTCTCATTGGACACCACGTTCCATCTTCCTGGAACTTGATTTCATCCACATCGGAGCAGTCATTCAGGATTTCCAGGAATAAACTGAGCAGAGTAAATTATCTCAGACATCGATACACAAAATACATTCACTAGTCCCTCAGCACACATTTGAGGCAGGTCCGTCTAGTCCCAGAAGCTACATCTCTCCTGATCAGACTTTCTAAATCCCTTAAGTTCTTCTGAGATCCTAAATTAGTATTGCTAATCTATGGCCTGTAATGTAATTTACAGAAGGAAGACAGTTGTTGATAAAGATGTGCTAATCCAGGAAAATCCCATGACATCATATCCTGAATACAAGTCAGAATTCGACCAGGAATGTCTTTTCAGCCAACAAGGAGCAAATAGTAAAATAACCTTTCAAGGGTTAGGGTTAGAAGCCGCCGGTGTGCTTGGCTGGCTGTCTTCCTCTGGAATTACTGCTTGTGTTTTTAATGTTTTGCTGTTTTATGTGCCATGTTGCTGACTCTCTGCTGGTGTACAATCGCCATGTGCTTCGGGCCCTTTGTTTTTCTGCTGGGGATACTTTTGATAAAGCTGGACAGGATACTTTGCCACCGCTGTTGGCTAGGATTCCAGCATTTCTGTGCCATGTTTCAGTGCCTGCGCCCTGGAGGAGGCGTTCGTCATACCAGGGTAATCTCAGAGGGTATCAAGGTGTAAAGCTAACGAGGCTGAAGTTTGGGAGGCTACCACTTTCCAGTACAGCTAATGGTGTATTCCTATCCAGGGATCAGAGGCATTTGGTGGAGCCCCTTTGCTGGTTCATTTTGCTAGCTTTAGTTGTTTGGATCTTCATCACTATATTTATTCTTCTTGTTCTCGACAGCACGGGAGTAATGCTGATAATTTGCGGCTCTCTGACCAAGTGTTGGGTCAGCTTGCCGCAGCACAGAGACCGGCATTATGTTTGGACTGGCTAACACGAGGTTTCTATCGAACAAGATTATTATCATCAGGGATTTCTTCACGGGCAAGGGTTTGGATATTCTCTATATTTGGGAGAACTTAACGTCTCCTAAAAGTGAGTCCAGCAGTTTTTCTGAACTACTGCCTCTGGGTTTGCTGTTATTCTTCTCGGACGTCAAGACGTGGTGGTGGAACTGCAGCAGTTTTTAAGGACTCTTAAAAGTAAGCAACTTTGCTTATTTCTCAGCAGTTTTGAATTTCACATGTTTGAACTTGGTCGTAATGACCCCGTGCTGTACATGGTGGTGTACTGTTCGTCCAGGTATAACAAGGACTTTCTGGCACTGTTTGCTGGGCTTTTGGCAACAGTGCTGCCAGAATATGCAGGGGTGGACCTTTAAAGCGCCCGAGCGCCAATGGCGTTAAATTTTCTCGTCGGGCGGTAAATACTTGACGACTTAACGCCCGGGTGGCGCCCAAGCCTTGTTTGTCATTTACACACCGGCTTTCACCTGCATCATGGCCGCGTCCTGTAGGAAGCCGCCGCTTTCGTTTCACGTGCGTGAACCTGCGCGCCTCTAGCCACGTACTGCACTTGTACGATTCGTGCACGTACTGCACGATTCTAGTTATAGTCACGTGAACTATAAGTTCACTATTAAAGATGAAGTGGAACCACGCTAGAAACACACAAGCACGCAGGAAGATGGCGCCACCACAGGGATGGGATTTCTTGATGAAATCTCCAGCAAAACGCTTTAAACTGGTGAGGAGAAGCGAGACAGTTCGAAACGGTATGAAGCAGAGAAGCGTGTGCGTAGGTAGAATGTTTCTTGGCGGTTTAAAGAAGACGGGAGACGCAGAGAATGGCCGTGTTCGAGTTGAGCAGCGCCTCGCCTGGAACACAGACGAGAGCAGACAGAAGCAGCAGGGGGAGTGGCTGAAAGCCGGCGTTTAAGCCAAACAGATTTCCCTGCATGTGTAGCTCGAGGGTGACGATGGATGAAGATATCGCGTGAGCGTTCACACTTGTTCAATTTTCAATTTTAATTCTGGTGCCTGTTAGCAGCTGAAACACATCCTCACGTGCTTGTGGATATCATATATTGTATATGAAGACATGACTGTAATAATAAGTAAAGGTTATCAGCTGTAGGTTTAGTGTGCTCATAGGAAACGTGACAAAAGAAAACAAAACATTTCTCTTTATGGCCTATATAGTCGTCATCATCAACATAACATGACTTACAGAATACATGTGACCAACTAACATTTCATGTTCTACCACCAGATGTTTGGATCAAAATATGAACCAATCAGATCTTAGATCAGGTGAGAGCCAGGCGTTTCCCGTCATCTAGGTTTTGCAGCCGGTGGAGAGCAACTGCAGCGCCTTGCTCCAAAATCTGCAACTGCCTTGATCTCACGAGGTTATCGTTGCCTACGTATGCATGACGTCAGAGCAAGTTGGCGTCAAGTCGGACACAAATCTAACCGGCATGCACTGCTCGCCGATCACCGCTGGTCTAATCTGCGCAAAACTGGCTCATCTCGAACACAGCCAATGGCTCAAATACAGCAAAGCGGAGCTGGTGATGTACTGCGTTGTATGCCGGAAGTATGCGACGACAAAATCGAGTTTTGTTGAGGGAACAAATTCAAACTTGAATACGTTATTATGTTTGTGAATGTGTACAAAATAAAGGTTTATTACATTTAAAACGGTTCAGTTGTTATTTTGACTCGTTTTGGCAGCTGACCAGCGGGGCCGGTAGATTCTTGGCGGGGCCGGTAAATATCCAGAGTTACCGGCCCTGCTGGCCAGTTGGTTTTGAAGTTAATGTCCACCCCTGATATGATAGGTTGCTTATTTTAGGTGACTTTAAAATTCATACTTGTTGCCCTGATAAACCAATAGTGAATGATTTCCAGAAAATTGTGGACTGTTAATTTGGTGCAGCATGTTTGTGCCCCGACCCAGGAACATGGACATACTCTTGACCTGGTTTTAACTTGTGGTGTGTTGGTATCTGACTTGGTGATTTGTGATGCTATTTTCTCAGACCGCATACATGTGCAGTTTACTTTGTCTGATATGTCTGATGTGTCAGTTGGAGCCTGTGTACCCTCGGCAAGTTAAGCCTGATTTATGCTTCTCCGTCTGCGTCAGTGCTGAGACACGCAACACGCAACGCCATTATCCGTAGGGCACGCAAGTACGTACGGAGTCAAGCCCACTTTTTTAAACATCCGTCGAACGAGACGGATTAAGCCGGGCGTACACTGTGCGACTTTTTCACTCGTAGCACTCAGCTTCAGCTCAAACTGTACAACTTCCTCGCAGAGCAGATCTCACGAGTCATGTGCTCACACTGCACGACCCAGTTCTCGCATGCGACCTGACTGCTCACACTGTACGTCTGGTAGCAACACGTCGGCCCTAAAAATATGCTAAAAATAGCAGTTTTTACACAACACGTCAGACGTTTTTGTCTTGTCTTGCCTGTTGTCCTTCGGGAGTGCTGCAGGAGGACACACAGGGATTTATGGGGGTTGGATGAGGAAAACGAAATAAAGAAAGTAAATCTGTGTTTTGTGATCAGTTTAATTTGACATGAACACGACAAACACGCTTTCTTGACAATCTTTGTGAGTAAAAAAACGTGTAGAAACAAAAACGAACAGCGTGTGTTATTAGGGAAATAGCGAGTGGCGTTGATGCAGGATTGCGCATGCGCAGTGAGCGGTTCTGATACTTTTTGGGTCGCAGCTGCTCGCAGCGCCGCTTCAACAGTGCGATACCCTCACGAGGGACGAGCGAAATTTTAAACACGCCAGAAGTCCGTGCGACCTCACGACTGCTGATCGGCAGCTGGTCACGTGGTGTTAATCGCCTCTCGTAACCCCCTGTACACTACACGACCGCTCGGCGCAAAACTCGCCCCGATGTCGTGGATTCTCGCACGACTGGAAAATCGGCTCAAAAAAGTGAAAAAGTCGCACAGTGTACGCCCGGCTTTACGCAAGCTTGTGATTGGTCAGGATGCCGCTGTTGTTTACAGCGCCGCCATTGCAAAGAGAGCCGAGGATAACTAGCGGCAGACACGGAGAAGCTTGAAGAATATCTCGCGAAAAAAGTCTAAAAAATGAACGTTTAATTCTCCCGTGACTGGAGGAGTGAAAAGATGCGCAGCAAGCGTTTTATTTGTGGACGGAAATGACAGGAAACATGGGTTTAGAGGTGGGGAGGGCATGAAGAGGTGGGAGAATGAGAGACAAATATGTCTGTGTTAAAAGTCTCTTATATACACAAAAAACACAATATAAACACACTATCTTGGACCGATACATGACAGGATACCACAGAACAGCGCTACGCCCTCTGTGGTCCTGCCGGGGAATTGCTTTGCAACACTCTCCAGGAGACGGAGAAGTATGAAAGCAAAACGCTTCCGTCAATCCGTGCGTGTCTGTCCCTTGCGGAGCTGTCGGAGAAGCATAAACCAGGCTTTAGAGTTATTAACCCTTCAACATTGTTCCTACACCTCCTAGTGCTAACTTATTGGATGTGAATGCACTAAGCTCCTGGCTCTATTGTACGTGCAACCGTGTTGGATTCTGTGGCTCCACTGAAGCCTAGGCTTCCCAGGACCAGATCGAAGCCGTGGCTGAACAAGTATACACGCTTATTAAGGCAGAAATGTTGACTCATTGAAAGGATGAGGAAAAAGGATAGGTTACTGAGCTCTTTTCAGGTGTTAAGAGACTGTGAGAGATGCTAAGAGGGTGTATTTTTTTAACGTGATACTCTTGGTGTGTCACTGGCCATGGATGCTTTTAAATGTTATTGATAGTATCCTCAATATTCACCAACCAGTGGGTATTACTGAGCCCTCTGTGATGTCTTACGAAGCATTTTTGAGTTTATTTTTGTGGACAAAATAGACAATATCAGAGCTCTGATTCCATCAGTACCCTGTCAGACTTTTTCCAATCCCTGTTCAGCTACTTTTCATCAGTTTTTACCACTTACGTTGAAATGCCTTTGGGATTTTGTTAACTCTGTAAAACCTGCTGGTTCTCCCTGGATATGATGCCCCCCTAGGCTTTAAAAAAAGTTTTTTCATCAGGTG